CCTCTTGAACTTTCACTATAGATAGTCTGGAATATTACCAATTGTGTAGCATGTGTTTTAACAATTGAGAAGCTAAATGAGAACCCCAACTTGGTGCGAACAATTCAGAATAATGTGTTTTTCTCCACTTGTGCTACCATCTTTTTATGGGGAACGTGTCTCTTGTTTGGTTGGTTTTCAGAAACTCACAAGGCATTGTTTAGATTTTATATGTAAATACGAGATTTTGAGGCTCTTCTTTTCTTATTACGGTGGCATAAGATATGAAGAACTTTGCATGTGCAGTTGAAGTTCGAAGATCCCTTCACCTGAGACTTGGGTTACCATTTGATCGCCCTCTATTGAGAATTGTTAATGCGATAAGTTTATCTAGAACAAAGGACAACTCAATGGGAAATTCAACTCAAAAAGGTAATTGTGCAGTTTCCTGACTGGCCCACAATTTCTTATCAGTGACTGTTTTCTGAGTGAATGAATTCTTCAAAATTATTGACTCATTTGTGTGTGTTAGGTTCCTATTTGCTCAAGGATGTACATCATGGGATTCAAAGCAGTGGGGGTAAGTTTTGTCTAACGTCTTATGTATGAACCCAGTTGTCTTATGTATGCACCAAGTTTCCACATTTTATGTACTACTATTTCTTTTTAATGAATTTACTGGTACATGTTTTTCTGACATATATTCGGTTGTGCAGTATCTGGTGGTTTTGTTTCTCTGGTTCAAGGTTCTTACGAGTATTATCATTACCTACAAGATGGATTTGATGACTCGGTAACACAGTTTCATTTTGCAAACCCTTCTGTTTGCTGATGTTTATCTGTAGAATAAAAAAAGGATGTTCAATTTCCTTTTATGAACCCTTCCTTTTATTCAATACTGTTAAAAATAGCTTGTACTATGACTTGATTTAAAGGCATTCAGTTCCTCTTAACTTCGGTTCTGGTGAGATCCTTTATGTTACTAATGTCAATAATTATCGCATGGAATTCAAATCATATTTTTATCATCACACTGAGATGCTCTTAGTTATTTTAGATTGTTAGGGTTTTAATTTTGATCATTGTTTTCTATAATATTTACATGTCAGGGCTGGGGTTGTGCTTACCGCTCTCTGCAGACTATTATTTCATGGTTCAGGCTGCAACATTACACTTCCATTCACGTCCCTTCACACAGGTACTTAAGGCTCTGTGATGAGGCTGACATGATTACTAGATGAAGATATTGAACCCCACCCCCCACCCCCCACCCCTTCTCCAATTTGTTGTTTTGTCCGTTACTTTTATCTCCTCCACTTGCGAGTGAGATACGTTTGTTCGAGCTTTCAAGAACATAATCACTGCATGTTGTTTTTAGGGAAATACAGCAGGCGCTTGTAGAGATTGGCGATAAGGACCCTTCATTTGTAGGGTCACGCGAATGGATTGGGGCCATCGAGTTAAGTTTTGTGCTAGACAAGCTTCTTGGTGTAAGTATACTTGTGTTGATTTAGTGAACCAAACATACTCTTTATTCACACATTTCGTAGAACCAACTACTACACACTTGTTATCCACACATTCTGTTTGACCCATAACTTATAATCATAATCATTCCCAAGCTTGCTATTAATATACATTGTATCATTACTAGTCTTGACTCTTATATAATGACCAATGTACTGGGCTCACCTACTTAACTTCTATCCTGAACAGGTTAGTTGCAAGGTCATTAATGTGAGATCTGGAGCTGAGCTTCCTGAAAAATGTCGTGAACTTGCATTACATTTCGAGAATCAAGGAACACCCATAATGATTGGTCAGAATTTTTATTACTCATCTCATATTTCTAAAATGTCGAATGAAGATCATATTTCGTTGATTTTTGCTTAGCCATAGAATTTGTGTTAAAAGAACGAAAACAAGATATAAAAGCAATTCCCGGGGCTTGTACTTACAGGTGGAGGTGTTCTTGCATATACCCTCTTGGGGGTCGATTATAACGAGGCAAGTGGAGATTGTGCATTTCTTATACTCGACCCTCACTATACTGGGAACGACGACCACAAGAAAATCGTGAATGGTGGATGGTGTGGGTGGAAAAAGGCAATTGATAGCAAGGGAAAGCATTTCTTCTTGCATAACAAATTTTACAATCTCTTGCTTCCTCAGAGACCAAACATGGTCTAGTTTAACTTACAGTTTAGAAGTAGGCTGAGGAATTTACTACAGATGCAGCGTAGTTTGAGATCAGCAGTATAAAATATGTTTGGAGATTATATTTTGTACCTTTTTCTTTGTACTGTATTGTGGAGTAAGCCCCGTTTGGTAGCAATTTTTCAATACAAAAAGTTTTTTTATTATTATTTCACTATTCTTATCGTTATTTTTGACTTCACTCACAGGTAAGACCCACTTTTTTCTCTAACAGTCAAAAAATCAATTCTCATAATCACTATCGAACAGATCCAAAAACATTAGATGAGATTGAAAATTTTCTGCCTAAATTGTTTGCTGTTATTGAACTTCGGCAAGATTTCAAATGGGTCACCGAACTTTAATTTGTATCAATGGGGTAAATGAACTACAATCAAGTTTCAAATTTCACCACTCCAGCTATCACATTCCTTCACCTATCGGCCTCAAATTGATAGAAATTGCTCATTTGACAATCACAAGATAATTTATTTTTCACATGATTGCTACTTGAGACCCTAGAAGAGAAAATGGTAAAATGAGGGTTATGATGTCTTTAAATTAATGGATTAAAAGATGTCTTTTCTTTTTTGGTCCCCTTATTTTAACTTTTTTGATGACATATGGTAAAAACTAAAAAGACATGCTGATATCATCTTATTTGGGAAACATTAAATTTAAACTTTAATTTTTCCAAAATATAGCTCCAAAATCTGAACCCGAATCCATGAACCTCGTTCACACGGGTGCTCCATTTAGGCATTTACGATCCATATTGAGAAATTTCCTTGGAAGTCACGTAACTTACATGCTTGTTTATTTTTAGTCGCGCTACTTATATTTTTATTTCAATTTGATCGTTATATGTTTTTATGTTGTCAAAACTAAACGAGTGATGAATATATGATGTGACGGTTGTTCGACATTAAAGTAGCTATTGATTTCAATAAATAATGAATTTAGTTCCTGTCTGACAATTATTATTTGAAAAAAAGAAAATTCTATATATTTATTTTCAACTGCTAATTCACATAATAAAATATTTCGAATGTAAATTTAATTTTTTTTTATACTTTTTAATTACATATTCTCTTAAAAATCATTATTCAAAAATATTATTATTTTTTCCGAATAATGACCATCAAACTGGGTTTAATTAAAGCAAAACTTAAGTTTAGTGATGTATAGGAAAGTTTGGCCCCAATTAATTTGAATTATAATGGGAGAAATAGGTCTTTTTTTTTTTTTTTTTTTGAAAAATGAGTGGTTGTAAAAGAATGGAAAAATTTCGATTTACGTGTAATGTTATTTTATTGAAGATTTTGTGGTTGGAAATAGAAGGGAGAAAAATTTAATTTAAATTAATGAAACGGGGGTTGATTTATAGTAAAATTTTCCTTCTGGCACGTACAATATTTATATTTGAGATCAACTCACGGGATAAATGTAGCAACTTATTTGGAAAATGGATTGCATTGGAGTTCCTCCATCGAGAGAACCTAGATACATCCCTTCATGGTTAATTTCACTTACTCTATCTACAAATCTACTTTGAACACCAACTTTAAATTATTTCATTTATATTACTGAACTTTAAAAATCATTTCAATTACACCATCGTGCTAAAAAGTCATTCAATTTTCAATATATCTTTTAACATTTTCATGACGATGAAGTTCAGCGATGCAAATTGAACCATTTCTGAAGTTTAAAACTCTCGTGACGATAGAACTAAAACGAAGTGAAGAACAGTGATGTAAATAGATGTTAGACAAATGTGACAACATAACTAAAATAAAAATTAATGAAGTACATAGATATGTAAGAACATTTTCAAAAGACTTTCTATTTTTAAAGAGTATATTCTATTATTTGGAAAGTATTTATAAATTTAGAGAATTAAAATTTTGGAATACTCCAATAAGCTCTTTATTTTTAACACTTAATTTTACTACTCTACAAAAATATTTATTATTTTTTGTCTTTTATTTTAACTAGCTTTTCCTTTAAATTATTTTATTATTTTCCTACATTAAAAATTAAAATACTTTGAATACATTTAATTATAGAGCGTGAACTCTCTAAATTAAAATGTTAATTTAAAGAATTTCATGAAATATTATTTTAATGATTAACTATTTAAAATAGAGAAATCTCATATTTAAATGATTTTCTAAAGATGCTCTAGGTAATGTTATTAATAGTACCGTTGTTACGATACCAATTTGAGTGAAACTAATGTTATTAAATAAAAAGTATAATTAATTACATAATTTAACATTTGGCCCTTGTTTGAGCGCCATTATTTTTATTAGAATGCATTTTGAATAGGATATTGATGAGAAATGTGTGATTAAAAAATAAAAAAAAATTTAAATTTACTTGTAATATTATTTTATTGAAAAATATGTGACTAAAATGATATCAAATTACTGTTTAAAAATATATTTTTTTAAATGAATGTTGGTCAAACAGGATGTTAATTAAATTTATCATGAAATGTTACATACTATTAGGGTCCCTTTGATTGTAAAGATGGAATTTGGGTGAAAAGAAAACGAATTTCAGGGAATTGAATTGTCTACATTTTGTTTTCCTAGGAATTGTAAATTATTGTATTTGATTGGTATAACTTTTCACGTGAAAAATTATGAAATAAAAGTATTTTTTGGTGTTCGTTTAGCTTTATTTTATATAAAAATTATCAATTAAAGGGATAGATTTTACTGATACTAGAAATTAAATTTGTTTTCATTACCAAAAAAAAATTAAGAAAATCATATATGTTTTAGTACTCATTTAACTTTATATAGACCCTTCATTCTCATCCATTTCCTCTCCCTGACAAAACTCGCACCTCTACAAAAATCATCATTGTCTTGGTACATAGTACATAAATTCAGATGTTCAGTATATACCTAAATGTAGGACGCTAACTCACACAGGTAAATTGATTCGAAGTTAAAGGGTTCTCATTTTAAACTGTTAGTTTTCTGGGTCGGAATCCTTTTGAAGGATTAATGGGTAAAGACATTAAAAATGACATGGCATCGAAATATACGGTGTAATGAAATGTTTTAATGTTGTGAATATAGTTAGTTTTTGATGATTTTGTTTGTTTATCTAGTTTTATTAGGGAGAGGAAATGGGGAGCAGAGAGGGGTTTTTAACGGAGGGGCAGAGGGAGATGCTTAGAATAGCTACGGAGAATGCGGAGGTAATTTCTACGTTATCTTCGGCGACATCGCCCAACGATACGGGCCTGAGATCTTCAAGTCGGACGTCATTTGTGCTGTCCGAGCACCACCATGTTAAGGCTCCGAATGGTGGGCAGTCTGCTGCAGCGGGTGGCGTGGCTGTAAGACATGTGCGCCGCTCACATTCAGGGAAATCTATACGAGTTAAGAAGGGTAAGGCTCTGAAGAAAATAATGATGGTTAACCACGATAGTTAGAAATAGCTTTTCTTTCTGTTAATTAATTTTTATGGTTCACCTTATGGTAGAATTTTCTTTAATTTATTTAGTGGCTCATCAGAGGTTGAAGAAAAATGTGCCTCGTCGCTCTATCATTTTTATTACTTTTTACTGTAGCCTTCAATTCAGAGGCTTAAACAACGTGGTTTTAGTTAAACATTTCTTACTTATCTATGGAAAACGCTGAAATGAGGAGGAAAAATAGTCGTTTTGTGGTATAAGAAACTCAATTTTATTCTCTCGATAAAAAAGAAAGCATTTAGAATGTTTTGGTTTAATTCAACCATGAGGGTTTAATGTAATTTCATTGAGCTTGCATTGATATTTCTCCGTCTGATAGGGGCTGTGTGCATATTAATTAAATTATGAGTTTCATTGCTGATGTTTTATTGGCCGAGCATGGATTTTGCATGTGATAGTTTCTTTTGAAGTAAAGTTCGATCTTCCCTTGATAATTTAAGGAAAGAGTTAATGTTTGTATACAAAAGATCGGGCCACTTTTGTTTTGCATTTTTTTACGACAGTATGGGAATTAAAGAATGTGTCAGAATGATTTGTAGTTACTTGACCAACGTGCTTAGTCATTTTTGTACCCATCTCCTTGGAAAAGAGTGGCCTAAATAGGGAGCATTGTAATGCACGGTGACACATGTTGTTTCCTCACCGAAATTGTTTGATTCAGTAAGATTTTCATATCATTTAGCCTACATGATTTTTGGGTACTCTTGGCAAAATTTGTTCTTTCTTGCACTGACCTTTTCACAGGTTAGTACCTAACAAGCACTATCACAACATATGCCATTTTACTTTAGTAAGATGCAAGTTTTGAAATGACTGTCCAATCTCTTTGTTTGTGTGGCTGCATAATCACTTAATATGGGAATTTTGTATAGACTACTCATTCTTTTCTTTTCTGAAATGCGCCTTGCAATTTGATTGCCTACTTTAATGCAAAACTCATGTCATTTAATTGAAACAAATCTTGCTAAAATAAACACAGCGTAAACAGATTACAAAGGTTTCTTTTAAGTGCACGTTTTTGCATAGTTGTATGCAATTATACCATCTAGAACAATTTTATTACTGCGTTTCTTAGTTAGGATTATAGATATTGGATTTTGGCTCAAGATCCACTTTTTCCATTCTCTTGGAATAATCATGTATCCTAGGCAACTTGAATGTTGATTGGGGCTCGATTGCTTGTTAATGTGTTGGACGTGTTGGACCCGCACACATTCACTTTCCAAAAACATTATTATTTTGCTTATTCCAGTCGTGCTGAGGATATATAACAAGAATCTGAGATTCTTTAGAGACATATGACCTACTTAAGATGCTTTAGGGATCAAAATGGAGAACTAAAAAAAGAAAAATGAATACATATATAATATGACAAATTCTAGATTAAAATAGTAGAAAAAATGCTGTAAAATATATTAGTACATATTGTTTCTTTTGATATACGCATTTGAAAACCACCTGCCACCTGCCTTGGAATGGGTACGCATGACTGTGATCCTCTCCAACCCATCTCAAATGTTATTTTCCTTTCCAAAATGTTGTCTACTTCAGTGGTTTGTCATTAAATGGTTCTATTTGACAACTACTGGTTGGTGAAGAAACTTTTAATGGTTGGCATCCTATGTTTCTCGCAAAAGCCTATGAATGGTTCCTCGGAATACTCGTCATGAGATAAAATCAAGATTTATTAATCTGTTCTCTCTCACAGTTGTTTTTTGAAGAAAACTGTTAATGCCTTCCTCGTTTTTCAAATTTTTTGTAAATATAAATTTTTAGTTAAATTAATAATGATGACATTTTATAATGATGTAAAATACTGTTAATGTTCTCTTCATATACGGCATGTCATTATGTGTCAATTAATAGATGGCCGATATCTAAAATTCACGATTGTCTCTGAACTTATTTCTTGGCTATTTACCATGAAGTTATGCAGTTGTCGCCTTTATCAGTTAATGTTGTCTGCAGTCCATGTTGCTTATCTTTTAGAGAAAAAGGGAGAATTCATATATGTATGTCAGTGACTGGTTTCTGTTTGTAGTTATCACGTAACTCGTTTAGTTCTGTCTCAGTTTGTCCCCTGTAAAGTATTTGTGCATAATACCTATAATATGGAGTGCCTGTAGACAAAAGATCACATTAATATGTCAATAATGTCTCTCAAGTGGCAGTCCTGGAGTGCATTTAATAACTGGTGTATGTGCTTCTTGTCTTACGGACGTGGTTTGTTTTGTCTGGTATTCTGATGGTGAACAGATGGTGCCGGCGGTAAAGGTACCTGGGGAAAACTACTTGATACTGATAGTGAATCTTTTCTTGATCATAATGATCCCAACTATGACAGTGGCGAGGTAAATTATATGACAATTCATTATTTTTTTCTCCTGTTTCATTTTTGGATGCATGGAATTTTGGAGCAGGAAAATATATTGTCATTACTTATATATAATTTTATTTCCATTGTTATTTGTTTGGATCTGTCCCAACAGGAGCCATATGAGCTTGTGGGACCAACTGTCTCTGATCCATTGGATGAATACAAGAATGCCGTGGTATCCATCATAGAGGAATACTTCAGCACTGGTGATGTAGAAGTTGCTGCTGCTTGTCTTAAGGAACTAGGATCAAGTGAGTATCATCCCTACTTTGTTAAACGCCTTGTGTCCATGGCCATGGACAGACATGACAGAGAGAAGGAGATGGCTTCAGTTCTGCTCTCAACTCTTTATGCCAATGTTATCAACTCAACCCAGATTCGTCAAGGGTTTTTCATGCTTCTTGAATCTGCTGATGATCTGTCTGTGGACATATTGGATACCGTTGATATCCTTGCTTTATTCATTGCTCGAGCGGTGGTTGACGATATTCTACCTCCATCTTTCATCCCCAAGTCCCGAAAAATGTTTCCAGAGACCTCCAAGGGATTTGAGGTGCTGCAAACTTCGGAGAAAAGCTATCTATTGGCACCGCATCATGCAGAACTTGTCAAGAGGCGATGGGGTGGTAGTACACATCTTACCGTTGAAGAATTGAAGAAAAAGATAGCAGAGCTTTTAAGGGAATATGTAGAAAATGGAGATACGTCTGAAGCCTGTAGGTGTATCAGACAGTTGGGTGTTCCATTTTTTCATCATGAAGTTGTGAAAAGAGCATTAGTTCTAACAATGGAGATAAGTACTGCAGAACCACTCATCCGGAAGCTACTAAAGGAGGCAGCAGACGAGGGTCTGATAAGTTCGAGTCAAATGGTGAAAGGTTTTACTCGGTTAGCTGAGAGCCTTGATGATCTTGCCCTTGATATTCCTTCTGCAAAGACCTTGTTCCAAACCCTTGTTCCTCAGGCAATATCTGAGGGATGGCTTGATGCATCTTACTTACAACCTTTGGGCGAGAATGGAGAGAAACCCAACAAAAATGATGAGAAATTATTCCGTTACAAGGAAGAGGTTGTTACCATTATTCATGAGTACTTCCTTTCTGATGATATTCCTGAATTGATTCGGAGCTTGGAAGATCTTGGGACACCCGAGCATAATCCAATTTTTCTCAAGAAGCTGATCAGTTTAGCCATGGACAGGAAAAATAGAGAGAAGGAGATGGCATCAGTTTTGCTTTCGGCACTTCACATCGAGATCTTCTCGACTGAAGACATGGTCAGTGGCTTTGTTATGCTTTTGGAATCTGCGGAAGATACTGCACTAGACATTTTAGATGCTTCAAATGAACTCGCCTTTTTCCTGGCAGGGGCTGTTATAGATGATGTCCTCGCTCCCTTGAATTTTGAAGAGATTGCAAGTAAGTTGCCAGCAAATTGTAGCGGAAGTGAAACCGTGCATATGGCTCAATCACTTATAGCAGCGCGTCATGGTGGGGAGAGGATCTTGAGGTGTTGGGGCGGAGGTACAGGCTGGGCAGTGGAGGATGCGAAGGACAAGATTCAGAAGCTTCTAGAAGAGTACGAAAGTGGTGGCGTTGCCAGTGAAGCTTGTCAATGCATTCGTGATCTGGGCATGCCTTTCTTTAATCACGAGGTGGTGAAGAAAGCTTTGGTTATGGCAATGGAGAAGAAAAACGACAGGATGCTGGATTTGCTCCAAGAGTGCTTCGGTGAGGGACTGATAACTACCAATCAGATGACTGAAGGTCTCAACAGGATCGAGGACGGGCTAGATGATCTGGCTCTTGACATTCCAAATGCTCAGGATAAGTTCGAGTTTTATGTGAACCATGCTCGTGAAAGAGGCTGGCTCTTACCGGCATTTGGTTCATTTGCCACAGATGTGGTGGCAAGCATTACCGTGAGTTCTTGACAAAGGTAGTTCTCGATCATCTTTTGAACCCTTTGTTGGATAATTTAATGCTTTAAATTATCGGATCTTTCATGTTAAATCATTAAGAAATACAAGAATTAAAGCGGAAGCGTACCTGAATCAGACATGATTAATGCAATATGAATTTTGCGGTATAGTCTTCCAAATCTACACGCAGTCTCCTTTTCCTCTCTGTGATGAGATGCATTAGAGAATGAATAATACGTGCGTATGATCTGGGGATCATAACCTAGTTATATAGGGACGCCCTTTGACCTAATTCGACACATCATAAAATTAGGATTTGGACCCGATCTCTACACATATGTAAACGGTAAACCCATACTTTAATTGGATGCATTAAAGTCCAAAATCGAAGTCTTATTAGATCACTTTAATTGGGCTCAATCGAATTCGATAGCCTATAATTTAACACACAATTATTCACACATACAAGTCCATCTATTGATTAAAAAATCCTTACAATCTCCCACTTGGGCTATATGTGTCACTTTATAATTGTGCATTAAACATAACCTTATGAGTACTCAGAATTTTGCTATCATTACCGAATGTATCCCCAAACAATCCCGTCCATCAATCATATCAACATAGGATCAAAGCGGCTTTCGCCACTTTCATTTAGCTAAACCCATCAATGGTCACGTATATCAATATAACCAAATGACATGGATCAAATATGGATGTGTAGCATGAAAATTATATGTAATGTGATCTATAACATGTCTATTTCCAACTGGTCCACCTTAATGCTTTAGTGAGATCATTTTAAACAAATTCAGAGTAATAAACCAAATAATTTTAACCTTAAACTGTATCCAAAATAACAGTATAAGTGTCCAATATGAAAAGCAAAAAATACAAACTCCCACTGAAACTAGATATCCTCAAGAGACACTATACCCATATGAGCAGTGTGCTCATGAAAGACCTTGGGTATTAATCCCTTAGTAAGCGGATCTGCAACCATGGAGTTTGTCCCACTATGCTCTATTGACACATGTTCACTCTGAACTCTTTCTTTAATAGCTAGGAACTTGATCTCTATATGTTTTGACTTCGTCGAGCTCTTGTTGTTATTAGAATACAACATTGCTGATTTATTGTCACAAAATATCTTAAGTGGTCTTTCTATATTGTCCATAATGCACAGCCCAGTGACAATTACGCAGCCATATTCTATAATTTGATGCCTCATAACACTCTATAAACTCCGCTGCCATGGTGGAAGTAGCTATGAGTGTCTGCTTGGCACTCTTCCATGAAATAGCACCTCCAGCAAACAAGTAAATATAGCCTAAAGTGGATCTCCTACTATCTTGGCATCCCGCGAAATCGGAATCAGAATAACTGATGATCTCCAACTGATCCGATCTCCTGTATGTGAGCATGTAGTCTTTTGTTCTCTGTAAATACTGCATGACCCGTTTGGCTGTTTTCCAATGATCCATTCCCGGGTTACTTAAATATCTCCCTAGCATCCCAACAATGTACGCTATATCCGGACGCGTACAAATCTGAGCATACATCACTCTCTATAGCTGAGGAATAAGGAATCTTCTGCATTTCTTCAATTTCCAAGTCATTTTTAGGGCACTGAATTAAGCTGAACTTGTCTCCTTTAGTCACAGGGGTGTCACATGGTTTACAATCTTACATGCCATATCTTTTAAGTACCTTTTCGATATAACTCTTTTGTGATAATCCAATAATACCCCGAGAACGATCTCGCTATATCCGAATTTCCAATACAAAAGAAGCGTCACCTAGATCTTTCATCTCAAAATTCTTTGCTAGAAATCTCTTGGTTTC